GACTCATTTACAAGAGAGACCTGGTTTAACAAAGAAAGATGACAACACTGGACAACAGCAACAACAATAAGCAGTTATAAAAAGTCATACTGCAGGGTTTTTGCTTTTTTTTACAAATAGGATGGCTAAAAGAAAAAGGTAACCAAAAAAAATAAATAAAACAGCTAGATTCTAAGGCGAATGTAGAAAACTAAAAACAGGAACATGTCTGCATTGGTCCCTGCCAGGAGTCCAACAGATTCTTAAAGCCACTTAGAGAGGTCAAAGGTCGAGAGCTTCAGATCTTTTTACAAGATATTCCAGGAAACAGGAGCGGAGTAGGAAAAGGCCCTTTTGTCTAGTTCAGTCCTCACTGAGGGAACACTGCAGGTAATGATGTCCTGAGAGCGCACGCTGTAGCTGCACTCACACAGAGACATGTAGGAGGAGATGTATGAAGGCAGCAGACCAAGAAGTGATTTAAAGATGAAGATGTACCAGTGGGAGAGTCTGTGTGAAGTTAATGGTGACCAGTTAACCAGTGAATACTGGGTGCAGTGGTGGGTACGGTAGTTACAGCCAGTTATGAATCTTAGTGCACCATGATAGACAGCATCCAACATCTGCAGCATCCAACATCTGCAGCATCCAACATCTGCAGGGTTCTTGTAGGAGCGTTCATGTAAATAATGTCACCGTAATCAATGGAGGGAAGGAAAGTCACAGATACAAGGTGTTTCCTAACATTCAGGGTTAGACAGGATCTGTTTCTGAAAAAGAAACCCAGTTTAACTTTCAGTTTCTTTACCAAGTTTTCCACGTGGAGCTTAAAAGAGAGATGTGAGTCGACCAAGATACACAAATATTTATAGGAATCATAATTACCAGTATTTGTGTGACATACAGTTTGTGGTGTTGAATAAATAAATAAAAATTAAACATGATGTCTTCATTTTCAACTTTAGTGTTCACGCTATATGTTAAGCATCATTTTAAATTTGAATTACATAATGTCCAGATAGCTTCATTTAGCTCAGAGCTTCATTATATATCTCAAACTTAAGATAAATACTGTTTATTATTATTAAACTTATTATTTAGCACTTAATATGTTATAGTGCAGCACGACGTGTGCGCGTGCCTCGTTCTATAAAGAGAGACATCAGAACTGGATCAGACTGTGTCTCTTCCAACACAGATGTCGGTCAAAGCACCTGGACTCTGACGTAGATTAACTACGAGATTAAAATATATTCCATCAGTTGAGGTTCTGAAAACAGTGTGTCCGCCGCCATGTTGATAGAAATATAGCGTCTGTCCGCGCGTGCGTGTGCGCATGTGGTTTAACACAAAGCCTCAGCGGGAGATGTTTACATTATCAGCGGGAGGTCAGAGAAAAACCTCCGCTCTGGAAGGTGGGTTCAGAAACATCTGGATTCAAAGAGGGGGGCCACTGGTGTCGTGTAAATGATCAGCAGAACCGCAGAGAGAAAGCTGCGGATGCACTCAAAATACACGCCGTGTAAACGGCCCCTCAGAATGAAAGTCAATTCCCTGCTCACAAATTGGAATTTTTAGCATTAAAATGGAGTGTAACTGAAAAGTTCCAGGATTTTCTGCTTGGAGCAACCTTCACTGTTGTGACAAATTGCAATCCCTTGACTTATATACTCACTTCAGCCAAGTTGGATGCCACTGGTCAACTCTGGTTGGCTGCTCTCTCCACATATTCTTTCAAGCTTTTGTATCGAGCAGGAAACCAAAACAGAGACGCTGATGCGTCCTTACATGTGTCCTGATTACCTACCTAAGGATCAGGAGCTCATACACGAGTTCCTGGAAAACCGGCTTGCCGACTCTAATCTGATTCCTTCTGAAATTGATGAGGCCATCTGTCAAAGTTGTCTTGTTTGAGCTGCCCAGCCTATCGATCCTGGTTCTGCGGGCTTTACGCTAGTCCAGTGATTCCTAACCTAGGGGCCCGACCCCCATGGGGGCCGCTAGAGAGCACAGGGGTGTAATGAACATATATCTGTTGATATTATTCATAAATTAAACGGATTCTTTCATTTTTCTGGACTGAGTAATATTGTGCATTGAATGATTAAATGTGACGTGAGACGTTAATTTTCTTTGACCCATCAAAATGAACGTGGTCATTTATTAACAGAATCAAAATTTAACATCAAACATTTACATTAATTTGGCAAAATTGATTACAATAACACATAGCTTAATTAGCAAGCTTTACAATTAGACAACCATACGGCCATGGTTTCACTTGCAGCTTTTAAACCAACAGACATTTCTGAAAATATCTGGATGATTGCTGGCAGATAGAAGAGTTTTAAAGATGGGAAAATGAAGTTTAAATGGAGAGAATGGGTGAGGGAAATGTGTCTGTATAACGAACGGCACTCTCCATTCGAACCCAGCTCCACCTCGGTACGCTTCGGTAGGAAATCGACTCGTTACCTCTCTGAAGATGAATCAGCTGGTACGGAGCTCCATTTAACGCTACCATTTCCAGCATCTCCGTAGGATGGTTGGAAAACGTCCGGAGTAGTGACGGTACTTCGTTCAACAGCAGCTCACCTCTGAGTGGGCTCGCATGAGCTGTGAGCCCGTCAGAGGTTCCACTCAGATGTGGAAGATTCCATAATCCCCACGAGACTCGGAATTTTGTTCTGCGTTCTGCGTTCCGAACTGCATTCTGCACTCCGAACTGAACTTTGTTCCGCTTAGTTCCCGTTGTTCTGTTCCAGCATTCTACCTGGAACTAGGAAGTGTTGACCCTTTTAAAGAGGTCAGTTCCGGTTCCTCTGAGAACTTCCTGATTGGTCGAAACGAACCAACAGGGGTGTGGTCTTAGTGATGTAAGAGGTTATTAAAAGTCAAGGAGAAAGATTAGATTGTTTAAGAACAGACAGAAAGATGTTTTGAAGAAATTAGACTTTTTGGAGCCAGTCTCCTCCTATCTGTCTGAAAAAGTTAAACATGACATTTCTTTCCAGTAAACATGTTTTTGACCGAAACTTGACTTTTGACCGACTTACAACTTGCTCATTTCAGACAGAAAATCAAAATGCATAATTACTCTTGTAACAAACATTAACTTGATTTCTACTTTGAATGAGGATTAAAAATCATTAATACTGTTTCACAGTTGATTTAAAATGAGTAGTTCACTTCAACATTTAAAATGGTTTGAACTAAACACACTTTTGATTATCAAGATATTGTAAAGTAGTAATGATAATAAAAAAGAGAGTGTTCTTTCAATTGATCAGTGCAGGACACACTTAGAAAGTCTCTGGATGAACTTAATTTTGTGTTTCTGGACTCAAATCAATGAAGTAACAGTTCTTGTCGCAGGAAGGCCCTCAGGGCCAGATTTTGACCTGAGGCTTAGTTCACTACAGGGGTTCGCATAATTTGTCTGCTCAGAGATTAGAGGTTGTAAAAATATCCATTTATTGTCTGTGTAACAACTTAAGAAAATATGCTTTTATTTTTAATTACGTTTGAAATTTCACCAAATCCTGATTAACACTGAAGAACCCTCATTTTGGTTATGTTTTAAGAGTTTTCTATAACGTATTATGTTAAACATTAATATCATATCTAAGCTGTCGCTTTAAGTCTTAAGAAAGTGCTTTATTAGGACGTCAGTACCCAAAATTTTATTATAGCCCTAACCATCTGCTGTCACTACATATATTAACATATATGTTACATAAACACAAACAACGGTCAGAGCCCGTCCCCCGACTGAAAGGTGCAGGGAAGCCAACCTCTGCCTGACATAGGCATTGGAACCGATCTCCTTGAGAGGGGCTGGACCTTATCCCACTCTGGAGTTGCCCATGGTGAGAGGTGTCAAGCTGGTGTGGGTGTACTTTTAGCCACCCGGCTTGGTGCCTGTGAGTTGGAGTTTTCCCCGGTGCATTATACAATAAAATCCAGTTAAACTCCATTCATCCATCCATCCATTTTCTTCCGCTTATCCGGGGTCGGGTCGCAGGGGTAGCAGCCTTAGGGAGGCCCAGACTTCCCTCTCCCCAGCCACTTGGTCCAGCTCCTCCGGGGGAATTCCGAGGCATTCCCAGGCCAGCCGAGAAACATAGTCCCTCCAGTGTGTCCTGGGTCTTCCTCTGGGCCTCCTCCCGGTGGGACGTGTCCAGAACACCTCACCAGGGAGGCGTCCAGGAGGCATCCTAAACAGATGCCCAAGCCACCTCAACTGGCTCCTCTCGACGTGGAGAAGCAGCGGCTCTAATCTGAGTCCCTCCCGGACGACCGAGCTTCTCACCCTATCTCTAAGGGAGAGCCCAGACACCCTGCCGAGAAAACTCATTTCGGCCGCTTGTATCCGAGATCTCGTTCTTTCGGTCACAACCCAAAGCTCATGACCATAGATGACGTTAGAGAAGGTGGGCCTGTGATCGGAAGATCGCTGGTTCAAGCCCCAGTACCGACAACATGAAAGATGTGGGTGGGGTAGTTGAAGCACCCACACCTACCCCCATCCTCATTCGTCCCACTCTGGGCCCTTGAGCAAGGCCCTTAACCTCCATCTGCTCCTCTGGGTGTCCTAGATAGCAGCTCTCTGCTCCACACAGAGGGCTGTGGTAGCTCGGTGGTGTGGTTGTGTCAGGAAAGGCATTCGACATAAAAATAACTGCCAAGTCTT